TGTTCTATTTCAAATACGTGTAGAGATGTTACTAAATTTTTATTGAAACTTAAAAGCATTGATGATCAAACCGTGTTTGATTTTCAGGTGGCTGAGCCGTACGGCATTAGGAGTCAATGTTTACTTAAATTCAAAGTTTAAAGCCAAAGAGACAAAAGGTGGAGAAGTTGTTCTGAATTGCCCAGGAAGAAAATTCCACTCTGGAAAACCGAAGTGAAATATAAGTAAAGGGCGGTTGTTTCTGAAGATTGACATTTTAGCAAGATGGCAGCTGTGTGTGTTGTGTTACAGATTACAGGGCCAGTTTTGAAAATTACAGACCAGTTTCAACATCTGTTTTTTAGGCAGTTTAATTGTGAACCAGAAAGAAAGCTGGTCATTCTAGGATGTTTGAAATGAGCTCTAATGATTTCCAGGCCCAGAGAACCCTTTGTGCTACAGCCACTTATCAGAAAGGGGGATGGCTCTTCATATATTTTTGTGTGTGTGGCAGATTAAGTCTTGTACCATCTGTTGGAAAGTTCCTATCATATGGCTGCCTTCAGAAAATAAAGTTCACAAGAGTTGGTTTTAGGGTAAGAAAGAAAAGAGAGAGCTACAAATGACAAATTATGAGATAATTGATCTTAATTAGCGTTAGTGTAAATCTATATGGAATAAGAGACAAAGTAATCATAGTAGGGTGAATAACCTTCAAAAACTGATTCTGCTTCTGAAGAACTAAGCATTAATTCATCCACTGAAGACTGGCATTTATTGAGTACCTACACTTTATAAAATGTATTTGTCAATTCTATAAAACCCTGGAAAAGATTGGTGCCGGTAAACAGATGACAAAGCTGTTAGAGAAGTTAAGTATCAGCCTTGATCACTGCTAGGGGCAAAATCAGGATGTGATGGTAGGTATTTTCAGCCTCCCTTCTCCCCGCTGCCCCCCACTGCCTGTCAGGGCATCTCGCCTCAGACGCCAGCCACCCTTATACCCCCAAACCAAAGTACACAGTTACGATTAGGGTGTGTATGCACACATGTGCATATTTTCTGTTCTTTTAAAGTAAACATTTAATGTATCACGAATAACAACTTGCTCAGCAATACGACTTGGCATTAAGCAGAGCATTACTGAATCGTTACTTTTGCTAGGAGGACGCAAGCTGGTTTTTAAAATATGGCTTTTGTTTTCAATTAATTATTTTATTCTCAGATTTCTTAATTAAAATCTTGATGTTTCCTGTAAATTGCAAATATAATAATTTGTATTAACCATATTTTTAGAAACCAAAACTCTTTGACACAGTGTTCTAAAAGATATTTTTACTCTACGAGAGAATTTGCTGATGTTAGATTGTACAAAGTCTAAAGTATTGATTTCTATACTAAACAAAAAAGGAAAAAATAAGAGACTTGAAGGATTAAGAGAAGATGGAAAGAAGTCTAGAGAGGTGAAGAAAGACCACCCTTTAACTCCACCCATCAGTCCCAGTTCTGCCAGTCTGTGGGAGAAAGTGGAGACGCAGCTTACAGTTACATCTTGGTAGTTTTTAGCCACGTATGCCCCACCTCCCTAGATAGATGGTGAAGTAATTAGGATGTCAGAATGTAAGTTGCACAGTCTTTGTGCATTTTATATGGTTATTGTAGAAATTTCTTGGATTTGTTTTTTTTGTTTGTTTGTTTGTTTGAGAGAGCCTCACTCTCTTGCCGCAGGCTAGAGTGCCATGGCATCATCATATTTCTCAGCAACTTCAAACTCCTTCAAGCAATCCTCAGCCTCCCGAGTAGCTGAGACTACAGTGCCCACCACAACTCCTGGAAACAGAGTCTCACTCTTGCTTAGGCTGTTCTCAAACTCCTGAGCTCAAGCAATCCACCTGAGGCTCAGAGTTCTAGGATTCGAGGTGGGAGCCACTGCACCCAAATGTGATATTTGTCTTTTATGGTTATACTATCTGTGTGATGAATATATATTGAAGATATACCTGTAGCCATTTAGTTTTAGAATATCTACTGTGTGTCTCAGGTTTTCCAAATGATACAAAAGTATTGGTTAGAAATCTTGGCTAGGCACAGTGCCTCACACTGTAATACCAGCACTTTGTGAGGCCCAGGCTGGCGAATGACTGGAGCCCAGAGTTCTAGACCAGCCTGGGCAATATGGCAAAACTTATCAAAAATTAACTGGGAATGGTGGCATGCACTTCTGTGGTCCCAGCTACTCAGGAGATGAGAGGATCACTTGAGCACTGGAGTTTGAGGCAGTGAGCTGTGATCATGCTACTGTACTCCAGCCTGGGTAATAGAGACCCTGTCTCTAAAAAAAAAAAGAAAGAAAGAAAAAAGAAATCTGAGCTATGCTTTTAGGCCAAGCACAATGTCTCACCCCTGTAGTCTTAGCACTCTTCGAAGCCAAGGCAGGAGGATCGCTTAACTCAAGAGTTTAAGACCAGCCTGAGCAAAAGTGAGACTCCATCTCTTCTTAAAAAAAAAAAAAAACCAGAAAGAAAAATTAGCTAGGGATGGTGGCAAGGCCTGTTAATCCCTGCTACTCAGGTGGCTGAGGCAGGAAGATGGCTTGACCCCAGGAGTTTGAGTTTGCTGTGAGGTAGGCTGATGCCATAGGATGCTAGCCTGAGGCAACAACATGAGACTGTATCTCCAAAGGAAAACAGCTTCTAATTCTAAAAGGAGCAAAGAAAATGATTTGATTAAAATCAGTTACAGATCTCACTTTTTTAAGATAAGAAAAACCAAAGCATTGTTCTATAAATCTTGGTTACCCTGTAATAACTGTGAAAACACAAAACAAATTTGGTCATCTAGAATGATATGTAATTATATATTTTGTATTCTTAGCTCTACTGTTAATTTGGGAATGAGCTTTGTTTTTATCATAATTCAACCTGTTCTGGGCAGGGTGCTCACATGGTGCTCCAGGTCACCTCGTCTTTACAGTTTGAAATCATTTCAAATTAACTGTCCAGTTGCCAAAAAAACCTGTTTTTCTTCCCATTGCAGTGACGAGGAGCGATACAGGTACAGGGAGTATGCAGAGAGGGGCTACGAGCGGCACCGAGCCAGCCGCGAGAAGGAGGAGCGGCACCGAGAGCGGCGGCACAGGGAGAAGGAGGAGACCAGACACAAGTCCTCGCGCAGGTCTGTGCTTTACCCAGACAGCGGCGTGGCAGTCACTGCTGAGAGAGACGGACTGGGCTCAGGAAGTGAACGCAAACATTTCCACATGAGCAGTGTGTACAGTGTCCCCCTCATTGGAAGGTTCAGGATAACCATTGAAATAGCTGGTCCTCAGGAGGCTTCAGCAAAATTTTCAGAATCTAATAAGACTGTTTAATACCCCAAAACCACATAGAATAGCATAGAATAAAAATGAGAGATTCCACTTATTAACATTGTCTCATTGAAAGAGGTGAAATTTTGGCCTATAAAGCAATCTTTAATAAGTAAATATATTAAAGCAGTGTTTGCTTTAATTAAAGAAAATTCTGGGGTAATTTAGGTAACATAAAGAGCTATGTTTAGCTATTTCTCAAAAAAAATTAGCATTAAATTTTAATGTGGCCTGTTGGCTGAAAATGAGTGCTATAAAGCATTTCCTGTTTGGATCTAGCACTTCAAACTTGTCATTAGGCGTTCAGAATAAAATACACAGGCACTACTCAGGGGCGGGCTCACTCACCCAGGAATCTGGTGGACTGTCAGCGAAGGTGACTCTGTAATGTGATTATAATCTCTGCATAAAAAGTCACATAACTACTGATTGCTCCCCAAAATGTGTTTGAGGAAAAGCATGGGTATTTCAATCCCAGTGTCATAGTGAGGATTTACTTACAGTGGGTTGGTTTTTGTCACTAATTTTGTAAACATTTTAAACAACATGCCTGTCCTTTTTTGCAGTAATAGTAGACGTCGTCATGAAAGTGAAGAAGGAGACAGTCACAGGAGACACAAGCACAAAAAATCTAAAAGAAGCAAAGAAGGGAAGGAAGCCGGCAGCGAGCCGGCCCCTGAGCAGGAGAGCACCGAGGCCGCCCCTGCAGAGTAGGCGTGCGCCGGGCGCTTGTGCACACTAGCACCCCACACGTAGATACTATAAATCTTGTTATTTTTCTGCATAATGTTTAAGAAATTTACCTTTAATCTTGTTCTGTTAGTATGAAAAGTTAACTTTTTTTTTTCCAAAATAAAAGAGTGACTTTTTCATGTTAAGTTAAAAATCTTTGTCTTGTAATATTTAAAAATAAAAAGTACAGCAATGACTTTATATCCAAGAAAGTAATGTGAGTGGGTCACTTAGCAGGGAGCATGAAGAGCCACGTTTGGCCGTGGATGTGCACGGTGTCTGATAAAGGCCAAGGCTCCACCTCGGCCACGATTTTCTCATTAACCGAACACCGATCTCGTAAGAGGTGGTTCTGCAGAAGGCATCGAAGAGCCCTGAGATGAAAACTAGTGTCTCTCATTACTGCTGTGGAATTCTTGCTTAGCAAATTCAAGAACTCATAAGCATTTCCAATGTCACAACTTTCTGATGGTGGGTTTTCAGTGTTCTAAATTTGGGTTCATAGGGAAACTAAATGGGGTGCTTATATATCCACATAAAATCTAGAAGGCATTTGGGTGGCCTCTGAAATAACCTGCCCTTAGTGCAGTCTCCAGCAGGCACATGTTCAAACACTCATCATTGGGGTATACATCTGCACCTCCTGTGGCCCTCCACTGGGTTGGCCTTTCTTGATGCATTTTCCAAGGCTTATTGGCAAGATTTAGATTAGTCATTTCTTAAATTAAGAAAACACAAGTATATAATTCTTTGAGCATTTTTAGAGATGACCTAAGAGGTGTTTGTCAGTGATAACAAAGAACATGATATTTGAAAAAACTAAATCTTCTAAATGGTGGTAATAACAGGAAACATGATTATCACATACTAAAAGACAACTATAATTTTTGGAAAATATTTTATTTCTCATTTGATGAAAGGAACGTTTCCCAGCAATGCATTTTAAAAATCTTTTGGCTTTCAATTAAAATGTTGGTCTTTCACCCTTCGTAGACCTCAGCATATATCATGTTTAACTTCAATCAATTTGAATTCAGTGGGGCGTACAAATTGTAGCTGCTTGAGGGGTTTTTATTGAATAGAAAAATATAAACTTAACATTGTGGAGTAATAAAAAATCCTCCACACTGAATAAAAACTGTTAGTAATTTTTTATTTTTTCAGAGTCATTTTCTGAGGCGTGACTGGCTTTCATTAGATCATACTTCTGACATTTTTACAATATATTCTTTAAATACAAAAATCAACAAGATAAATATACTGTTTCAACTTAGCCTACTTGATCTTTCTGTATTTTTCGGACCCATCATCGAATCTATAAAAAAGTGCCAGGCCAAGAAACAAGCGTGAGAGTTATCCTTCCTCTCAGCTCCTTGAGTGTCCTTGCCAAGCAGGCGTGCACCATTCCTGACGTGCTTCTGCCGTTGACGGCCAAAAGAATGTCCCCACACCTAAAACCAGAATAAGAGGCGGAATAATTGATACTTTAATTCATGGTTGGCATCAATGCAAGTTTGTTTCGTCAGTATCAGTTTTTGCTACATCTGTCCATTTAAATTACTTCTAATTTAGGTATTTCCTCTCCTCAGATTTCTCCAAACTCATTATCCATTCAGCCGTTTTAGAAGGGACACCACAAGTACAGCAAGTTGTACTATGAGACCAAGAGTAGATGTAAATTGTCTTGGATTTCTTAAAGGTTGAATGCTACATAAACATTTTTAAGTTTTTACTCACCCTCTCCCCTCCCCCCATCACCAAAAGTACAGTGAATACACACCTTATTTCATATGGGGCCAAGTTTTTGCATAAAACATAATATTTGAATGTAAATTTTTTTAAGTAGTTGTTAATATTACCTAATTCTTCCATCATTGTATGCTGGTGTTCCTTCAACAATGGATTTGATAAAAAAAGGTTTGTTCCCATTGTATTCTTCGTAACCTCCTACGATGCAGAAACCCAGACTTCCAGCTGTGTTTCTTCGTAATACAATATCTTTACAGTTATACAAGTACCTGAAATAGAATGTAATCAGTGTATATGCACAGTTTAACTAGCAGTGAATAATGACTGATTCATCTCCCATTCCTTTCATTGGCTTTTTAAAACCTAAGTAACAGTACATAGGTCCTACTCAAAATCCTCTCATAGCTTGGTGACCTTTGTGCTGTTAGTGGACTTTTGTAATTGAATCTGTTCGCCATAGCTGAACACCCTTAAGAATATAACAGACCCATTGTGTTCTCTGTTTATACATCCACTAGGAAAGGTAATTTTTGGCTTAAAGAAGACTTAATACTTGAATTTGTATGAGCAAAAAAAGCTGGATATACATAAATACTTAAAGATGAGCCAAATTCAGACATACTTAATGGATATCATTTTACTCGTTGGCAGAAATAATTTTAGTGAAGGGAAAAATACTTTGAATAAGTGATCTCAATGAAAAAAATTTAAATCTAACCTTAACTACTTGTAAGTTTTATGGACCTCTGAGAAATAGTAGTTTCTACCTAGTTGTGCATGTTGGACTAGGTCACAGAGGAGCATGCAGGCGTGAAGGGAGTGGAGACAGGTGTGTGAACAGCTTGCAGCTCCCATCGGAGGGAAATAGTGGCAGTGAGGAAGAAGGAAGGCATCAAAGGGACGGAGGAGGAGAGACACAGCTCAGTCCTCAGCTAAAATCAAAAATGAGCCGGAGGAATCAGTGAGCGGCCACTGGATCCGTGTTCATCAGCAGGCCAAGTACAAACCGTGGAACAGCACAGGAGCCGGGGAACCCTGCTTGGCCACCATGTGTGTAGCTGTAGTCACGGGCCAGTCTGAGAGATGAGCATTTTCATGTTGGTGAAAAAATCAAGATGTGGCTATTTATAAACTGTACCTTAAAATATTCTTTTAACTTTTTTTAAGGCCAATAAACAATCTCTTGTAAAATGTTAAGTGATGAGGCTGGTCATTACATGTGCTGCTGACCTTGCTAATGAATTCATGTAACTTTATCCCATGATGTTGCTGAGTCTCGTTTGAAATAAAACAAGCTTTAGGGTTTGGCAAATTAAAATGTAGTGCTAAAATTCAACTCTTCCCGGTTTTCTAACTGTTGGCATATGTATACATCACTCACAATGTTTCCTTCACCAGAATGATCGCTGAAAAGGATGAATTTCAGTAGATTAAATAACCTCATCTTTATTATAACATTTATCTGCTGTATTTCACAGGAAACCTTGACGCCAGTAGTGAATTCATCCATTAGGATCTGCGGTGTCTCAGATACCATATTTACATAATGGTCCACGGCTCATGGACCAAACAGGTGATTGGCTATTCCCCAGACATTACATTCCCCCAGGGTCTGTGTGTGTGATCTCAGAGAAAGGAGGTGAGGAATTAGATGATGACTAGCCAAGGTCATGACCAACTGTCTGTCTTGACGTCTCCCAGTTGTCTTTCAATATATACGAGAGCACATAGTGCATGCAGTACTTGACGGTGTTTCTCATTCTTCATTGTTTTTTTCATTTACTACGTCCTTGGACCTTAAATTGACTCTGGCCTCTTGATACCCAAGAGAAGGTATTTCCTGGATCACCATTCATGTGTTTATATTGACCACACCCCATCCACTAGGTCCTTAGGATACATGGGTGAGCAAGGCACACCACCCCAGCCCTCCTGCACAATCCATCCACAAGATGTGTTGCCAGTTTTATTTCATTAACAGTGTTTTCCTTTAATTGTCTTGAGTAACTGGATTGTAGCAGTAAGAACTCAATGTTGAACCCTTGCAGAGTCAGACCATCATTAGTTGGGCCTGGTAGTTTTTTAAAACTTGGTTGAATTACTATGTGTTTCCCTCCCCACTAGGAAATGGGGCAGCTGTTTTTGATCAGTGACCTTTGACGTACAAAGTGGCCTTAAACTCTAAATTTAAATGTGAGCTTTTTTCCTATTCTGAGCTCATTCTCTGAATTGAGGCCTAATCAAAGATGATCTGGCACAGTGTAAAGTGGCGGTCCCCCCCACCCCCCGTTTTGGGGACTGGTCTCCTAGAAGACAAGTTTTCCACTGAATGGACTGGGTATGAGTCGGCAAGCAGTTGATGTATATCATGGTCTATGGGCAGTCAGACCTATCTGCCAATGATAATCTCCAGGTTCCCAACAGGCTCCCCCGACCTGTACCTGTCCACAGCCCAGGGGTTGGGGACTACAGGTGTAAGGACTAGCGGGGAGGAAGGATTTGGAGAACATTCTCTAACATATCTCAAGAATGGAAAAGCATCCGTGCACTCAATACTAAGATGAAACCAGTAGATTAGTCAAGGCAGGCCCACACTGGAGAAAAGCAAATTCAAGCAGGAGGGAGTGGTGGAGGTGCTTAGCTAAGTCCCCACCTGATGGTCACAGTATGGCACATTTCCTGGGTGAAGAACTCGATTACAACTTTAACTTACAAATGCAAACGATGTCACCTAATTGTATGGACCCTGGTATGAACCCAAAATTTAAAAAAAAACAAGGAATAACGGAGTTCCGTAAATTTTCCCCGTGAGAAAATTATGGTTACCTCAAGAATAAATTTAACTCCACTGAAATGAGTTAACTAAGTACGATGAAGTCTTGAGCTGATCAGAAGCTAAAGTTTAAAATTTTCCATCTATCCCCTTCTATGCCAATGCCGTGAACATCTGCAGACCCTGCCCAGCCAGGAGCTGGGTCTGGGGGACTAAGAAGGCGAAGGCACAGCCTGTTCCTTGAGATAGTGTTAGGGAAAAAATGAGTAGAAAGTGTGTAAGATCCTATTTCTTCCTGTTTTGAATTCTTCAAATCTTCTCATTGCTAAATGGTGTTCGAATACCGGAAACTGGAAAGACAGTGGGTGTGGGATATTTTGAACTCTTCTTGAAAGTAGAAAATGAAATCTATAACCAGTATTAGTTCTTTTAAAAATGGTCCCTTATTATTGCTTAGTCTCATGTTCAAAAAGGCTTCACTTCTTGGCCCCAATTGACACATAATCATTATCATTAACTGAATAGATTCCAGTGAGTAATTTCAAGTTTCCTGCTATGATTAACTTAACACTCCAGCTTCTGGGTCAGGTGCCTCTCAGTCTGTGGTGAAGGGCCAGATTTCTTGTTATTTCCAGTTTACTGCAGACTAATGCTTAGATTAAATATAATAAAAAATGAGTTTTTAGAAAAACGAAATTTTGGCCAGGTGTGGTGGCTCACACCTGTAATCCCAGCACTCTGGAATCCTGAGTTGGGTAGAGTGCTTGAGATCAGGAGTTCGAGACCAGCCTGAGCAAGAGTGAAACCCTGTTTCCAGCTACTTGGGAGGCTGAGGCAAAAGTATCACTTGAGCCCAAGAGTTTGGGGTTGCTGTGAGCTAAGATGACACCATACCATTCTACCCCAGGGTGACAGAATGAAACTCTGTCTAAAAAATAAAAATTAAAAAAAAAAAGAAAGAAAGAAAAAGAAAAAAATAAGGTAAAAATCCCCAAATCTTACAAAAGCATACAAAATAACCTACATTTTTACTGTATTTAAAAATATAAAACTACATTTTACTAAATATAATAAAAAACGTAAAAGGAAAACGAATCACCACTTCCTCAATAATGACAGCTGCAAAACTAAGCTCTCTGAGTTAAAGCTGTGTGAACTCTGTCATCTTCTTTTTATTTTTTTGATTACTTTTCTGAAATTTTATGTATTTTCAGAAAAGGTGTGTCTTGTCTTGACAAAAATCCAGAGAAGCTTGATTCACCATCCATAAATAGGATATTTACTTCCCTAATTCAGCTAATAATGTTAAACTATGTTTATTGTTAAAGCAGGTTTATTAAAAAATTTAAATAACTTAGAAAATAACTTTTAAAAAGAAATCTTACAGTCTCTCAGATTATTATACACCTCATACATATTTTGGTCACAGCTAAAAAGTTAACCTTAAAATGCTCCGGGTTGTAACGTGTGGGTGGGTCCAGCAGACAACTCACCGTGTAAACCCTACACCCCCCACCCCATTCAACAAGACAAGTTTGCTGACCATACACACAAATGATGCACCAATGTTCAAATGCTCTGCAAGGTTGTAAATAACCCCAACTTCTGTCCTTATACAGTTTGTGGGTCAGCAATAGGGTATTACTCATTGCTGTAAATAATTTTTGAATGTGTAAAATTGTTGAAGAATTGTTTCGGCTGGGCATGGTAGCCCACACGTCTCTCAACATTTTGGGAGGGTGAGGAGAGAGCATCGCCTAAGTCCAGAAGTTCAAAACTAGTCCAGGCAACATGGCAAGACCCATCTCTACAAAGCATTTTTTAAAAATTAGCTAGGCAGAGTGGTACATGCGTGTAGTCCCAGCTACTCAGGAGGCTGAGGTAGGAGGATTGCTTGAGCCCGGGAGTTTGAGGTTGCAGTGAGCCGTGTTCTCACCACTACACTCCATCCTGGGCAACACAGTGAGACTCTGTCCCTAAAATTATAATAAGAAAATATAATTTTATAATTATAGTTTATAATAATCTTGGACTAAGATTCCGCCTAAACTGCAGGATAATTATGTCTTAGGCAGGTTTCTTCGTAGTGCTGTCCTCCTCACCACCCTTATCTGTTCATTACCAACTGCCACGCCTAAGCCTCTTTTTCAAGCGTTCCTCTCTGTTCCTCACCACCGGTCTTTCCAGATCATGGACTGGGTGCCCATTCTGACAGATTTCGGATCTCATCTGGCCTGGATGCCTGCTTTGGGCTGGGTGGTTATTTTATTTTAGACCTCTAAATAAAGACCTTTAGTCCACGACCTGAATAGCAAGAAGCAGCGGGCCATGTGAAGCACAGCAGAGTATTCTGAACAAAGAGAGCCTGGAATTTTTGAAATTCAAAGAAAATAGAATATTAACTAAAAGAGACTTATCAAGAAGCAGCAAAACAGAAAGAGGAAGTAATGTGTACTTCAGCTAACCGGCGACAGGGCCAGAATGAGACGTGTCTCT